ATAAATTTAGTGTAGCCTAAATGTGCAGTGTTTATAAAGTCTATAGTAGTATATAGTGATGTCCAGGGCCGTCAGATTCACTCACCACTCACTGATTTACCCAGAGCAACTTCCAGTCATGGTATGTGCCCTATACAGGTGTACCACTTTTCATCTTTTATATTGTATTTTTACTGAACCTTTTCTATGTTTTAGATACACAAATACTTACCATTGTGTTACAGCTGCCTACAGTATTCAGTACAGTAACATGCTGTACAGGTTTGTAGCCTGGGAGCAATAGGCTGTACCATATAGCCTAGGTGTGTAGTAGCCTATTTCATTTAGGTTTGCGTAAGTGCTCTCCATGATGTTCGCACAAGGACAAAAATCACCTAATGATGCAGTCCTCAGAAGGTATGCCTATTGTGAAGTGACACATGAATGTATTTAAAGGAAAAGAGAACAGAGAATATTAAACCTCCATCCTTTCTTACTTCATTCAACTTTCATTGACCTTGTTTTGATTAAACTCCTAAGATTCTCTCCAAAATCAGATAAAGTATCACTCCCTCCTAAGCTGCGATAATGACCCTGTTACTCATTTCCCAGCTAGACTCCAATAGAATTGCAAATGGCATCTTACGAATGTTTTTATTCTTCGAAGTCTGAAACATTCAAAATAATATAAAACATACATTATGCATAACAAATGCAATCTTTTCATTCATGTCCTTCTTTTCCACAAAATTCTAAAGGCTATTATGCTTCCTCTACCTCTACTTTTCCCTATTTTCAGAAAAATAGGTTCTTCTGGCCTATTTTTATTTCTTCACGTATGTAACTGATAGCACCACATGCCTCTCCTTCAAGACCCAGATATGGAAAAGGTAATATGTGGCTATACTCTCTTCAGTATGTACACTTCTCATAATTTAAATACTTAACTTTTGTAAATAGGTGTTTACAAAAGCACTGAGGAATGCTTTAGGCACACAATAAATATTAACTGAAATCAAATCAAATTATTTTCTCAGCACACTAGCTTAAACAGGTATGCTCTATTACATGCAGTAACAATACGATATTGCTGTAAGAATGCTTTAGTAAAACTGGCACCCTTTTCCTCTAAACAAGCAAGGTAAGCTGGAAACAGGCCCTTTAGGAAATTAAGAAAGGTGAAGTCTCAGGAATAAGAATGCTAATAAACTCAAACGAAAGCTTAGCACTGAAAATATGTTTCTTCATGCAGTTATTTTCTAGATCTAAGAAGAATTACTACACTTTTGTAGGCTGGTGGATTTATTTAAACTTATCTAGAAGGTCACTGTTCTATACTTGCTATCCATACTACCTTTCACACTGAAAAATTCTAGAAACATAGAGATTTATTTAATTAAAATGATTAGAAAACTTTTATAAATACACAAATATTCCAGAAATACTAAATTAAATAAACAGAAAGTCTAAACTTTAGTCACAGTTCAAACCTCCCAAAGACAAAGTGAAGGTGAGGAGAGCTTGCTCTTTGGGCGCCCTCAATATAGAACATAATCTCCCTTTCTCTACAGAAATCTCAGCCAAGATTTTTTTCAGTTTACTTAAACAAACACTTCATTATTCTTATTGCTAATAATTTACCATGTCTGGGGTAGGGGAGGAGGGAAGCCATCCGATTTGTGTCATGAGAATAGATCTGGAAGTGTAATATTAAGTGGGGTGTTACTTAACACAGATCCCACAACACCTCATTATACACACAAAAAGATGAGTATCCTATTTATCAAAGAGAAGGAAAAATTCTTTTCGAATTATTTAAGCCAAAAAAGAAAAAAAGAAAAAAAAAAGAAAATACCTATAATACCCCCCTGAGGTGCATTTCCTTATTCCTTTTATCATCTCTTGATGTGTAATTTTAAACTCCCGTCCTGGAAAAAGAAGGGTGGCCATGACAGCAGCTTTAGAGTGGGTGTGAATCACTGCGCCTGCTCCTGAGGGAGGAAGAAGAAAGTCACATGCTTAATGAAGACCAGATTATAACTTTTAAAGAAAAAAAAATTTTATTTCCATGTATTTTTATGGTTATGGATTTATTTTTCCTGGCATGGACTAATAAGTTGGTGGTAGGTAAGAAGGTAAATGGAATAATAATGGACCTTCCTTATAGGCTGATGTGAGAACTGAATGAGTTAATGCATTTAAAGTTCTTGCACATAGTAGGTACTTGAGCAATGTTAACTAAAATAATAGTTAACAATAAAGTCTACTCTGTAAATATTCTTTATGCTGAATACCTTTTCTGCATACCTCTCATTGTGTAAGCATTCATGAAAAGAGGAGTACACTGGCTTTTTTTTAGCTTCTTAGATGGCGAAGGTCCACTTATGTCCTTTTCGTTTATATCACAAACAAACATGTCTTCGGGCTATTCACAGAGGGGGAAAATGAGAAAAACAAAGTTTATATAATACAATATCAATATAGATATGATCAGTACATAGAAATGCCCCTTTTCTTGTATGTGTGTGTGTGTGTGTGTGTACATATATATATAGTATATGCACACATACAGAGTGCTAATATGTATGTATATATACTTATATTTTAAACATTCATATAATCATAGTTTCTCAAAATATTTTAGCAATTTTGAGAAATAAAAAATGTTTTCTACTAACAAAAATATTCTTGAAAGTCTAAAAAATCATCTTCCCTTAGAATTTGAAGAAAAATAATTGATATGGAACATTAATATGTATGTAATGATGTTGCTGTCATTTCATCAATTAGCTTCTCAACTTTGCCCTGTAATTTCACAGCTATATTTCAGAAAGACAATATACAGAAACCAACATTCCCAAATGGGTGTTACAATTTCCCCTCCCACATTTCATAAAGAGCAAAAATTTAGAGTGAAATTTTCTTATCTCCTGAGAAACGTAACTGGTACTCAGGAACGTAAATTGTAATAAGGTATATTCTTCTTAAAGACTTAAGGAATTATGTAGATCTACAGGCTTTTCTTAGCAATGCATGTGTATTTCTGACTTGTAACTTTCATTTGTTAATTTGAAACTACAATATAAATGTCTTATTAATAAAGCAGCTTTTCTTTTTCCTTGCCTTAGACAAAGTAGTGTATATTTGTTTTAACTAGATTTTGGGTTTTATTCCAGCATTAAGACAGAATAGGACTTCTCAAAATTTAAAATAAAGTTGCTAACTTGAAATTGGAATAGCTTTGTTATTATGAAATAGGAATCATTATGTTCCATCTGAGACCATCAATCTGATTACTCCACTAGCCTGACAATGTTATAAGGCTGTAAAGTTATAATCACTCCTTATTATGATTTAAGATGACACTATTCACTTTTACCCTCTACTGATTGAATGAGATTTCAAAACATTCATTGGTTGTATGGAGGGTATTTACCACCTTAAAATATTTAATAGTTACTCAACAAATGTCTGTTCATTTGTTATTTAAATTGTCACAATATAACCAACCTTCGAAACTAACATTTTCTTTTAAAATTAATTCCACTTCACAAAACAATAGTTAAGTACAGAAAACAAGACATTTGGGTTTAAGAAGAATCCCTTTAACCATACCTGAATTCGTTCCTTTTGCACTCCTGAAGGAGCAATGTAGATTTCATTGCTGGTAACACAAAATATAGAAATTGGTATTTATTTAACTAATTTCCTGCTTTTGCACAAAGAAAAGTATATCTTTGCAGTCTAATCATTAATGTTCTTTATAAATCAAGCCATACAAATAGCTGCTTGATTTAATTACACATTTAGGCTGCATAGGAAGAATGCCAAACTACTTTAATGCCTTTGTGATGTTGGTGGCACAGTAAAATGCTGGTAGTTGCTTTTATCTTCCATGTTTTCATAGATGTTTATTTCTTTTTAAGGTGCAAAATCAATGGTAACTAGGCTTCTATCTAGTTAGGGGAAATAAAAAATCTGAATACATCTTTAAGCACTAATAAGCAGAGTTTATCCTATTATATGTGAAACACATTTATTTAAAAATCTGACCAGGGGAAAATGTGTTCAAAAGGAGAATATTTCTGTCATGCAAAGAATCAGGTTTAATTTTATTGTTTAAAATGCTCTTATTATAAACCATGAAGTTCAGAGACCTCTGCTGGACAGTTTATTAAATTACAGCATTAACATTGGACTACTTTTTGGACAAAATCCTATGCTTCCTATTTGAAAAGCACATGTCTCTTGGAAAGTATTTGGCAATAAAGCTAAAACAACTGCAAAAAGTAAAAATATAAGAAGAGTGGCTACATATGGAGATCTCTTTGCTACAGGATATTGTGCTAAGGGAGATGCTAAGATGCTATACTCTACCATTTACCACAAGGTGCTCTCAAATTTAATTTGGAAATTAATTTTAAAATCTTCTCTAAATTCTCTCCATACTCAACAAAGGTCTCTTGGCTCACTTTTCAGTTTCAGTTGCTGCCAGGGGCGGAATTAAAGAGCTGCCACATATATGCAAACCAAAAAGATGCCAGCACCTGTATGCCATAGCTTCTGCCACCAAGGCATGGACATAGTGAACAAATATCAAATGTCTCATAGTGAAAATGAGGATGATGGCCTATACCAAGCTGTCAAAGTTGGGGTTACTAATAAACCTGTAGGCTTCTATTGGTAAAGTCTAGAAAATAAATGCCCAATAATGTGAGTGAAATCCAGTGCACACTAAGCTGCATGCAGGCACTCACTTTCATGAAGTGGCTATTGTTTTAGAGCTCTGCTATGTAAGGATAGCATAGAGGGACATTCCTCTGGAACCAGTGGGTATGGGTTAGGGTCATACTGTTAAAAAGGGCCCTTTACAAATACCAGCAATTGAAGTCTCATGTCCTAGTATAACACGGAAGACACTCTAGAATCATAGATGGCATAGAGTCCACTCACCCCCGCAGGTAAGTGGACTTGTAGGTCTTCTTATGTGGGGAGAAATTTATGCAGTCCTGGGAACAGACCCAAATAAAGTACCAAATGGTCTGCTAGTAAATAAACCCATTTATAAAGTAGGAAAACCAAGGGTATTTATTTTGTTTATTCAAGCAATTTGGCATGCTAAGTCTGTTTTTATTACTGTCTTTGTAAAATGGAAATCAATTTAGGTCTTGATCAACTTTGGGTAATTAAAAGATTAAAAATTCGAAAACAAAAGGTTAGCTAAATACATCTAGAAAAAATATATTTACACCTACAATGAGATATCTGGATAAAAATGCAAAGATGACAGCTTTTATTTTAGGAGGGAAACATGCCAAAGACCAAAGTGAAGTATTTACTTGGTGCTGTAAGCCACAAACAAAAGCATTTTGAATTTCAAGGTATTAAGTTTGGAAACACATTTCTCTATACTCGCTGCTCTTTCACTGTGTGGTAAGCAAGGGCCAAAACCCAAGAGTTCATAATACACCTATGTTCAATTGCTTCTATGTTTATTTACTTTCTGTATTAAAAAATAATTTATATCTTACTATGCCTCAATTATCTTATCTACAATATGGGTTTATTAACAGTATTCTAATAGCATACAACAGAATTAGTGTCTCTGACACCTACAATAAATTACACTGTGAAAATAGGAAATGTTAAGTTTGAATGGTAGGGATCCTATGTAAACACACTGGCTGCTGAACATCCTGGAATTCCCTTGATTACTGTTATTTTCTTGGTCCTCTATTTCCTTCTGATTTAACTCTTATGTGTCTTAAGCTGTCTTTTACATGCATCTTTTGGTACCACACATTAAAAGCATAAGCTAGAATGGTATCAGCCAAACATTGGAATTAGAAAATCATTTCATATTCCCAAAGAGTTTATTGTTAGTATTAGTTTGAAAACATAATTTATTGGGTTTGCACTTCATTCTGGATTTACTTGCCCTAAGCATCAGACTAGGAAAACCTAACTTTCACTAACAACACGAGAATAACATTGCTGATAAAGCTAGTGATATGGGCCTACGAAGTCATTTAAATATTAGGGAAAAAATTCAGTATTTTACTACAAAATACTCATTTTACTTTGTAAAGCACAAATTTAAAAAGATTCCAAATACAGTGCCATAAAACTGGCTCTTTCCATCCATGGCCTCCAGGAGGAGCTCCTCGTCCATTAAGACTTTAACTAAGGAGAAAGAATTTTACACATGATTCAACTTTCCTATAAACTGAATGTAGTGCTATAAAAGCCATTTAATTTTAAAAGATGTGCCAGCAAGTGAGTGGTTTATAGTGACCACACACAATCGCAGTGTACAGATTAGTAAAATTCTGCTAGAAAGAACATAACCCTTCATATCTTTTCGATCAAAAAAATTCCCTCAAGTTTTGCATTCTCCTATTTTTAACTGTTGTGTTTTTTTTTTTTTAAGAGGAAGTTGGAAGTGGTTATTTTAGCTTAGTTTGGTGGAAAGCCCTGTTTTGTACATACACAAACTATTTCTGCACATGCAAATAAAAAGCAGTTAACTAAAGGCAGCATTTAGAATATGATTTATTTATAAATAATACAATTAGGAAACCAAATTACTGAGACTCAACTTCTAAGTGGATAAACGAAATAGGAATAAATGTTATGATGGAGTTTGCTGTGAACAGGCCAACTTGAAAGTTCTTGCAGAATAATCTGAAAGCTTGCACAATGCTGAATTTACACTCTAGCAACTGGGTTGATGTAAAGAGAGGCACAGATTAATGTGCTGATCTACCATGTGGAACATGATCTTATATCCATAACTGTGCTAGTTGTTGACTAAGGCGCCCCTTGTCATTTCCTACTGTTTAATGATTATCTTATGAGTTACTTGGTAATTTTAAGCAAATGAAATTACAATGGCATCATATTATAGTATGCCATAAAATCCCTTTTGTTCAAATTGTTCTGATTGTATTTTACATCCCATTCCTTACTATGCAAAATGGCCTCCTTAGGGCCATAAATACTTTTAATTTTTTTTTAAAGAAAGAAAATTAGGATAAAGAAATCAACATCACTCAGTTTAACACTCAGCCTCCAGACAATGATATTCCTAAAACATTTCAGGAGGAAAACATTAATCTTATTTCAGAAACCCTTGAGAGATGAGTGTTTATTGCAGCACAATTCACAATTGCAAAGAAGTAGAATCAACCCAAATGCCCATCAATTCAAAAGTGGATTAACAAAATGTAGTAAATGTATACCATGGAATACTACTCAGAGACGAAGAAGGATGACTTAATGCCTTTTGCAACAATTTGGAGGGAAGTGAAGACCATTATCCTAAGTGACTCATATAAAGAATGGAAAAACAAACACTAAATATATTTGCTATTAACTTGGAACTGATGAGCATACATGCATAGAGGGAAGTAAATCTCAAGGAAATCAAGCAGGGGGTAAGGGGAAGGAGGGGATGGGCAAAAATCTACCTAACAGGTACAATGAACACTATCTAGGTGATGGGCACACTTTTAACCCTGATTCGAGCATTACAAAAACAATTCATATAACCAAAAACATTGGTACCCCCATAATACTTTGAAATTAAAAAAAAAAACATTTTGAGATGAAAAACTATAAAAGAACTTTTTAGCATGCAAGAATTTTAAGGAAATAAGATAACTAAAGAAATCATATAGTCCAACCTAACACTGTCCAGTAGAAATACATAATACAAGTTATACACATGTAATTTAAAATTCTCTATAGAGCATATCTCAATGTGGATGCTAAATTTTCATTGGTTAATAGGAAATGTAGTCCTACCAAAACAATAAATTTGTCTTACCAGAAAAAAAAAGAAACCCTTGAGAATGAAATTCCATAGTCTTTATTTTCATTGTTAGTAAGTTACTTTTTACAAACACTAATTTGTTATTTCTTTATCTTCTTGAATGAATGACACAGAATAAATCTAATGAACAATTAAATACCATTTATTCTTTCTGTTTCAACTTAAGTCCAGTATCTCTTGTTTTGTTCTCTGAGGAATACAGACTAGAGGTATCCACTAATAATGATACATGTGCTTAGAAAGGCATTATTGCCTTTCTTTTGACTCGATTAATGGTTAGTAATCAGTATTTGTGACTTTAAAATGTTTCTGAACCTTTGAAACAAATTATGTCTACCTAGAGAGGATCCTTTATAATTCCAGGCATATAAATATACTTGGCAGCATGTTATTTAACTCCGGTACTCCAAAAATTGAGGACCAGATTATTCTAATCAGAAATCGTGGTTCTTAAATACTTAGGTATTTATTCTATCTGCAATTTCTGCACACTGCTTCCATTCAGTTATGCAAATGTCCATTTCTCCATTTGGAAACTAAATACCTTCAGTATCACATAAAACTTATCATTAGTTGTTCTTTGGACATAACGAGTTAGGCTCTCCGTGGTCTACTCACGTGGAGAATTCCCAGTAATAAAATCTGCCAGAAACTTACCCATGCTTCAAGCTAATTCCTCCTCCAGTTCCAGTGACCCAGCCCAAATGGTAAAACTGTTTGCAAAGTTCTGGAATCAGGTATCTTGGATGCTCCTTGTCCTTAAAAAGAAGATAATGATTTTTAAAATAGACATGATTTTATCAAGTAACTATTCCAGCTGACATTTCTAATGAGAAACCAATTTAAGGAAGTTTGAGAAAATTTACCATAGAGAGGGTACAGTGAGAAAGAAAATTATTACAAATATTTTGTTTTTAATGTTTAGAAAGTAGACCTACTACATTATTTGGAAACCTGGGATTATTCAATATAGGGCCATAGTGTCCAACACTAAGGAACAGGCTGCAAGAACAAGGTGGGGAAATGCCCAGTATATCATTATCATAAGGTGTCTATTGAAATGGCAGAAAGAAAACAGAATCTGATACTGAAGGAACAGTCTGTCCAGAAAATTTTTTACACAAAACATGGTATTCAATTAAGACTTGATGATATAGATATAGGATAGTTATATGTTCAAAACAAGCTCTGTTACCGAAAGCTTGGCACTTGTCCCCAAGGCTGCCTCTGAAGAACGAGGACAAGTGGTTTGACGAGAAGGAAAGAGAAGTTTATTAATTTGCCAGCAAATGAGGAGGATAGAGACTCCTGTCTAAAAATGTCATCATCCTAATAGTAAATAGAAATACAGAGCTTCTAAAGGGTGGGTTCTCAGCTTTAGGCAATTGTTTAACCACAGTTGATGATTTTGATGGTTCCATCTCTGTCCTATTTCTGCTGAAGATAATCCTGTGAGCTCTGCCCATCTGGGAGGCCCACCTGGACTTCCAGGACCTCTGCCTTGCCCAGATTGGACTGGCAGTTCCCTGAGTCATTTCCTGTAGCACAAAGAACAAAAGACTTTTCTCTGTCCCTCCCAACCACTGGCCTGAGGCAGAAATGTAGGTTTTAGTTTTCAAAAAGAGTGAGTGAAGTTTTAAAAAGACAGAAGGCCAGGCATGGTGGCTCACACCTATAATCCTAGCACTCTGGGAGGCCGAGGCAGGTGGATCGCTTAAGGTCAGGAGTTCAAGACCAGCCAGAGCAATAGCGAGACCCCATCTCTATTAAATATAGAAAGAAATTAGCTGGACAACTAAAAATATATAGAAAACATTAGCCGGGCATGGTGGCACATGCCTGTAGTCCCAGCTACTTGGGAGGCCGAGGCAGAAGGATTGCTTGAGCCCAGGAGTTTGAGGCTGCTGTGAGCTGGCCTGACGCCACGGCACTCTAGCCCAGGGAACAGAGTGAGACTGTGTCTGTCTCAAAAAAAAAAAAAAAAAATCTTGCCCAAGGATCACCCAGCTGCCGTAGGTGAAGTGAGAACACAACCCAGCTTTGACACCAGCCTGTTGCTACCAGAGGTCAGGAACCAAGTATCCTCAGCACCCAGCACAGTTTCACAGACTTTGGGGTGTAGCTA